ATAAGTAATCAGAATTAGTATTGTAATAACATTTTTCAGTTGTCATAATAATCAATTTTGTTAAGCGTTTTGTCACTGAAAATGACCCGGTTTCCTTTTTTGGGCCCTATTCACCTTTTACTGCGCCGCTTCTCTGAATTTGGGCTGGATTTTCAACGGAATTTGTCCCTGGAGGTAGATTTGGCCAGAAACTCGTCATAGGGAAAATTTGGCCCTATGAACACGAAAATCGAGTTGATTTAGTGCAAAAACCTTTGCTGGAACAAGCATATAGTGCCACTCCAGGGCACGAGGGTTTGTCGCTAGAAATAGATGTTGTATTCGTGTTGGAGGGGTCAAATGACCCCTAGCAAATAAGGCTGCGTTCATAGTTTGAGGCAGCGTTCACCCGCATCTCGAGGTACCAGGAAAGTATGGATATCGATCTAGCGTCTACCAGTGTCCAAGAGTACTGTATTGTGCAGTAGTTCGGTGCGGTTGCACACGCCGCAATTTCACGACGCCTAATCCAGCTGTCTGCTCCCTCCTACTTCCCCATACTCTCTACTCCTGGTCGCTGGTAGACGCTAGATCAATATCCATACATTCCTATTTCCTCGAGACGCTGATAGTCGCTGGCGGACGCTGGTGGACGCTGCCGCATAGTATGAAAGCAGCTTAACTTTCGGCCAAATTTCTCCCCAAGGGACAACTCTGGAAGAGAATCGAGCCCAAATTTTCGAGAATGGGGTCTTAAAAGGTGAATAGGTGCCTTTTGTTATGTATTAGGTGACGAATAGAAAGTGAGTAATGGTCTCCTCTGTCATTTGCCTCAGATCGACGTGATTGGCGTTACTGCAAATTCATATCGAAATGATACTGTAGATTATTGATCCATTGTAATAGCCCCCCTTCCACCATCTCTTGCACCCCGTCTGAGAAATGAACGGTGACGTCGATTTTTTAAATCCCAGGAAATTATTGGTGTATTTCTGACAGTGTTTTTTTTTGTTTGATGATGATCAGTGTAGTTGTATGAATAGATAAGTGAATTATCACACTGACGGGATTCGTACGTGTATCTAAGGTTTTCTTCTCGTTTTTGTTGTGAAAATAAAATTCGATCGATAATCGATTTTCTGCCTCATATTGAAGTACAACGGACGAACAGCTCGAGTGTAAAGATATGGGCTTGAGAGACTTCACTGATTAAGTTTAGAGAGCCGTTCGATTTGGTGGGGGCACCGAATGGTACTCAACTGAGCTGGACAGGTTACCGTGCGAAGACTTGTTAATTCCTGTGGCCGAAATGGTTCACTTGAATAATTTTGCAGCTTGACTTCTGTCAAGTTTACAGGTCTGACCAAAGTGGAGACCTTGGTTAGTCATTGAACTAAACACAGAGAAAAGAAAACTAGCGAATGGAGTACAAAATGCCCCTCCAACAACCAACAGCCGAGCGAATTTAGTTTTTTTAATTTAATTAATGACAGTGAAAACAAAGGTGGTTGCCAAGTACTGAGAGGCGCGTTATGAAGCTTACAGAAAGCAGATCTCAGTCCGCAATATTCGGCACCTTTTGATCGGGACCTTTTGAAGCATTGCGACCATGTAGTTTCCTTTCCCACCGAAGGCACGGGTCATTGACCATCGATGGGGCCAAAATGACCAATCTAGAGGGATTATACTCGGGTACTAGAGCACCGGTAATGGTGAAGTGGCTGTGCCAGAACGACCCTCCCTCCCACCTCAAAGTTGTCCTAGTGCGACTCCCTCTCACGTACGTAACACCTTACCCATTTCCTCTAACTCTCAGCCATTTTCCTGAGGATTTTTTTACCAGTTTCTGTTCAGTGAAGGGGCTTCGAGCTAGGAAGGGGGGCACTATAGACAACAGGAGAATTAGTTTCGCTGCTTAAGAAAATCTCCTCAGGTCTACGACTCCCTTTCTTCCCGGCGGAATACGACCTCACTGATGGGATCTAAACGATATTGTACGTGGTATTGACCGCCTAGTCTGTTCTGCGGTGAAGCATACAAAGGCAGTTTGATCCCTGCGCATCAGTTTTGCTACCGGCGCTGCTTACTACTGCTCCACCTTCAACATAGTTGATCACAAATATGAAAAACTTACTGCACATGAAGTTGTAAAGGACGGGATTCAAACAGCTCGACGAATAACTGAACACTCGAGGCAAAAGTTTACGAATGTAGATCCAGTTGATGTCGGAATCACGACCAAGTAAATCAAAGGTCCTGTAAAGAAGTCGATGAGGTTACGGTAAAACAATGGCGAGGCGAAGTTCGACTTGTTGGGGGCACTTTGCTCGTTCCCTTAAACCATTGCCGACACCTGTGAAGACCCGTAAACACCTGGAGAACTTTGCACTAGCACGAGCTTCATTTACAGTAGACAAGAGTCCACAGGTCTCACCAAGGTGAGGAACTGGCAAGCGAAAGCGAAAATGCCCCTCCTAAGCCTTATGAATATAACTTACGCGGCGATATTGTGTAGATGGACTGGAAGGTACGATAAGGCAAACATGCATACGACCGCAATCAGCATTCGTACGGCTTTCTTACGATTCGCTACTTGCCGTTTTCCAACTCTGGAAATTGGAAACCTACTTTTATTTTTGATTCGATGTTACCGTAAATTTTCAAGATATTAAATTTTTTACTGCATAGGCGCGACTGGAAGGATTTCTCGCCCACAGTTTTCAGTGAAGGAGGCGGAAATTCTCAAGAAATATCGAATCATCTTTCACCTAAAGAATAAAAACTCACGACATTTCGCATTTGTTCAGCGTTCTGCTCATATGTAGACATAGGATAGAAATGAACAACAGAGGTGACAAATAGGCGCACAGCGTCAGCACTATTTGATACTGCTGTTCAGTTTCACTTGACCATGAAGCAATACATCGAGTACCCCACTGAAAAAGGTATTATGTTCTTTTATTCTGCAC